TAATATTAATTTATTATTAATTATATAATCATAATTTATTAAAAATTAAATAATTAATTATAATTAAAACTTAATTTAATTATACTTAATTACATTAAATAAATAATATATACTAAATATATAATAAATAAACAAATAAATAAAACATCTCTCCCTCCCCCTCTCGGTTTCACGGGATCAAGCCGAAGGACGCGCGCGTGAGGGAGAGTTACCTTCATAGCTTGCGGGTGAGCTCCCGTCCGATCAAAAGGTAGTGACTTCCGATCCTACGGGAAGGGACGCCGTCGAAGGAGGAGGAAACGGCGGGTCTAGGGCTCAAATGGTCGTGTGATTTGAATGGAGAAATCGGTCGAAGGAGTGAAGTCGGCTGGTATATGAAGGAGTAGGTTGGTTTCGTCCTTCCTCTCTCTCTCTCTCTCTCTCTCTCTCTCTCTATTTCTATTTCTCTGTGGATTGGAAGGAGTAGGAGGCAGAGAAGGCGAGATGCTGGGGCGTCGACACTCAGAGCTTCGGTCTTCGGTCGGCGTCGAGTAGAGAAGATCGGTATAGGGCTATTGGAGTTGGACGGGAGGAAGAGGAAGTAGTGATCGTTTCGGGCTTCCGATCGAAACAAGTAGAGAGCGAGTGCGGAAGTAGCGAACGAACGCCTATTTGGCATCGCTATTTAACAACGAGGATGGGGCAGCGACCGAGAGCCGAATTTCAGCAGGAATCGCGGGAGAAGCGACTGATTTCGGCAGGTATTATGGAGGATTTCGTGGATTCAGCGGGTGCAAGGTTTATACGCTAGATTTATTCCTCCTTTCTTTTTTTTTTTTGTTCTTTATACAGAGGTTAACATCACCATATTTTTAGTTGGAATAAAATAATGGTGAAAATCAGTGGAATGAAAATTAATCAAACATGATAGGAAATTGAAATAATCCTCAACTACCTTATGTGAACCCTAGACCATCTTATCCCCTAATCTTTAATAAAAAAATCAATCTATAGATAGGAAGGCACCGTTGGAATACTTAATCATTCAGATGGAAAATAAATTGCATAGTTGTGCTACTTGTGGGCTCCGAAAATTCGGCCCCGGCCTCCGCCGGCTCGTTTGCTTTTCTTCGGCAAGGGAGTTTTAACGGAATAAGTTTCGGAGTAAATTTTGGGAAGGCAGATGGGTTTGTAGATAAGACACTATCTAGAGATTTCACCCTCATTTTATGAGGACTTTATGATATGACTTCTGGTTTCCTATAGGCGCAAGCCCCTATAGTTAATTACCCGTCCCGATAACAAGAGAGAACATTCGATTAAGGCTAGGCGTCAATTAGATACGTAGAGAATACATGTTATCTGGCATATAATAGAAACATAGGCTTGGAATCGAAAAATTAGAGATTTGTTATTTAAAAATTTAAAATTGCACCATCTTACACTTAAAGCAGATGGTGGGGGAATGAATGATAGACCCGATCAAGATCCCATGGTTCCATCATCCCGGGCCATCGTGATCCCTGCTCTACTTAGTCAGAGGAGGTAGTAGACCCAACCTGACATAAGGAACCTTGTTGACATCCATGAGTTGCTTCGTCCAAGGGAACCTTGTAGACCTAGGAGGAATGCTTGTCTAAGGGGACAAATTTGAATCCACTTTAGCTAACAGAGGGCTTTGTGCCCTATCGATCATATCTTATTGATTCATATCTCAAGAATTTGATGCCACTAAGGAGCGTATTGGTTCTGACCATAACCGGTATTTCATGGTGCCATTTGGCAGTAAAATCAATCAGTTCAGAGGGCCCCGGGTCATAACCGTTTATCCTGCGGTGCCATTTAATGGAAAAACCACCAGTTAAAGGACACATACCACGTCCATATTGCTAAGAGATTGTTTGAGAATGGATCATAGTAATATTTTTGACTAGATATTAGTTCTATGTGAGCTGAAGTAAATTTTAATGTTGAAAGTTTGTTAAGGATGTTAAGCTCTATAGAACTGGCCCAAGCTAACCAAGAGGGGGGGGGGGGTGAATTGGTATTTAAAAATTTCTTTTCACAAAGAAGTAAAATCTCGTAAAACCAAAATCACATCACAAAAAAAATAAGCGTGGAAATTTAAAGTCCGACAAGCAAGAAAGAAGAACACAGAAATTTTAGTGGTTCGGTCAAACTCGGACCTACGTCCACTCCCCGAGGCACCCTGCGAGTATTGCACTACATCGTGACTCTCCTTTAGCCCCACAGCCAGGCGGAGAAGCCTTTACAAAGAACATCTTTTTACTACCCCGACAAGGCAGATAACCTATCTCCTTTTATTTCCTCCTGAAGCTGGCAGAGAACCACAATCAGATACTGAATCCTTACCTCTACCGACCCTTTCCTACGGACGGAGAAACTCTAGACGAAGAAGAAGCAGAGTGATCCTTGAAGCAACCATTATTGAATCCCCTCACAAGCTACCCCCTCACAAGATTCTCTCTCTCCCTCTCTCTCATTTCTTCTCCTCAAGGTCTTCTTAGGTCAATGGAGC